TTTATATATTATACAAAATAGTAAAGTATCTACAAATGCAATTTAGACTTGTTGAATAAACAAATTATGGTTAAACATCTGAGTAAAATTGGAATTAATCCAAATTATATTTACAAAAACATTTTCTATATTATAAGTAAAGTATCTACAAATTAAATTTAGAATAGTTAAATAAATCAATTATGGTTAAGTATCTTAGAGGGTGTTATTGGTTTGTATATTTTAGTGGATTTGAAAATACAAATCAAATATAATGTTATTGGTTCTATGATTTTAAAATACCTATTCAAATTCATTATTATTGGTTCTATGATTTTAAAATATATATTCAAATTCATTGTTATTGGTTCTATGATTTTAAAATAGATTTTAAAATCATGTGTTATTCAATAATAATGATTTGCTTGAGGATTTGATTTTAAAATAGATTTGCGTGGATTTATGAGTTAAAAATACAAAGAAGCAAATACTGAGTTGAACCTTGTTATTTTGATAGAGTATTATTGATTTCCTTAATAATTTTTTTCTTGCCCCACGTTTTACGTACATATTATCCATGTCCCTAATAATAAGCAAATATTAATATATTGACCAACCATCTCTAACTTAAGTTTTTTGTACACGTAGACATTAATATCAAAATTTACCAAAGATCTCTCATAAGAGTTTTAGTCTACAAATGTTTTCTAGAGATTCTACTCCATAAAATGACAAAGAGTTGTTTACCATCATCATGTTTTCTGAGAAATATTATCGAAATAATTTTTGATATATTCAAATCTCGATTTTAAATTTTAATGTGCATCCCTTTTTCTTATAAGACAAAAACAAGAGAATATTTGTGTGTTGGTTTCGTGTAGTATTTTTTGAAGTTCTGAAGAATCGATAATTTTTCTGAATAAAAAATTTTTGATGAAGAAGAAGATCTTGAGGAAGTTACTGGAACTGAAAATAAATAAATAGAATATGACGGTAATAATAACAAGTATGTGAGAGATTTTATGTTATCATAATAATATAGGATATAGAAAATGATAAGCCATATGTTGTAGTTTTATATATATTTTCTTTTGTTACAGAGCTGAGTTTATCACAAATCCATTTCGTTGATTTCTAATAATTCAATTATATTGATTTTGAAATCTATTTCATTGATTCTGAAATCTACGTATTTGATTCTAAAATTTTTGGATTTGTCAAAAATTTAAAATCCAAAAAGAATTTAAGAATCTATAAAATACTAGAACCAATAACCCCCACTTAGTAAAATTGGAATGAATCCAAACTAGAATTTTTTTATAAACAACTATTAATGTTGAAAAGAAAGTATTTAATACTATAAAGTGAACTGATTATCATTATATAATTCGAATTTGGAATACCTTCCAATTAATGCATGAGATAGATCAATCATTTGTTTCAATCAATCATATTAATCACTTGGGTCAAATCTCAAACACAAACTGATCAAGTAAATAGTAATTTAATTGATAGAAGGAATCAAACTAATAATTTAGTTCATAGAAAGAATTGAACTCATAACCAATATGGATACTACAATATGGATACTTTTCAAAAAGTTACCGATAGACTACCACTACAGCATAACACTTTTTATATTATTCAACGGTGAAAAGTGTCTACAAATGGAGTTTAGGAAATAAACCAGTCATGGTTTCTGATAAATGTGTCCGGACCTAACACATACATGTACTATAACGAACCATTTTATTTCATAAACGTTACACGCCATGAGACGAAGATGATACAAATAACGAACAAACATTTACTTTATTCACGCCACAAACTCAAAACGCATCCTTCAAAGACATTAACCTTTTTACTTTGATCATTAAAGAAGAAGAAGACAAGCTCATCCATTTATTTGTGTTTCTAAACCGATAATTCGATCTGAGAAACAAGGATACCATCAGTATCTGCGTAAAGCCATTCACCATCGCAGATCCGAGTGCCAGCTATGTTGAGAGGGACTCTTTGTTCACCAAGTCCTTTCTTACTAGCCTTTATAGGATGAGAAGCCAAAGCTCTAACTCCAATGTCACAACCATTGATCTCATCAACGTCTCTTATGCAACCGTTCACTATGATCCCTGCCCATCCGTTGTTCTGCGCTTGTACTACTGGGTTTCCTCCTAGTATTGCACAGCGTAAGCTTCCTCCACCATCCACCACAAGAACTCTTCCATTGCCTGAAAGATTTTGAAAACATCAGTAAGCTTGTGGTGTGAAAGATACAGACAAGAAAAGATTGCTTTTATTGTAAGGAAAACCGAGCCATCTTATCTCTAGTCACTATAAGCTCAAAGGAGAACAAGGTCAGGTATAGATTTATATGTTTTGAGAATAAAATTCTGTTTTTCGGACATCAATCAATGTTTTTTGTAATAAAATTCCATGTTTTGAGAAAAGTTTCTATGTTTTGGCTAATAGAATTCATTGTATTTGTAAGTGAATACTCTGTTTTCTACCATAAATCTATGATTTTAACACATCATGCAGCCTCAACATATCAAATGATCACAATCTCTGAAGAGTTCTTGATGTGAATAGTACATGACAGGTTGGTTAGCTCTAAGAACAATGAATCGTTAATCTTGAAGCTAACGGCTTTTCACATCACAAAGTATCCACTCACAAAGTGATTGAAGAAGTCTAAAAACAGAGTAGTAGTTACAGAGTGTCATTACTACTGAATCAGATTAAGATGATCTTAAAATTATTCAACCATATATAGTTTCAAAGCAAAGAAAGATCTGAAGATGTTTGATAATTATTAACTAACCAGAATTTGAGTCCAAATGTAAAACTAAACCACGTCAATGATCATATGAAAGTTTTATATTAAGGTCTCTCTCTACCAATAAAGTCTTGAGTCTTTTGAAATTAAGAAAGAAGAATGAATAATAATTAATACCTTTCTCTTCGAGAAACTGACGGATCAAACCATTATCTTCAAACACTTTGACAGTAACTACAGGACCCGAGAATATTTGACGACGACCGTAAATCTGGAAAGCGGGTTGCAGAGCACGGAGCTGGCCACTACGGATCAGATCTTGATTTGCGTCACACACTTCCGCTGTTGTCACAAACGCCATCTTTTTTTGTTTCTCACCTGTTGTATTCAGAATAATATGATTATATTTAGCAAAACTCAAATCAAGATTAATCTGATACACAACAAACGTAGATTGAATCTCATTTTCATTTACCTGAAATAGAAAGAAACTCGGATGAAGAAAAGAAAAAACTCTCTCTGTCTTGTGTGCTCACGTCTCAGAGAGAGATGAAGTGATGATTTAAAGCAGACCACATGCGTCTTAAAAACATACCTGCTCTAGTCATTTTATAATAATAAATTCTTGACTTGTAACTTTGTTTTATAAAGACGGGTAGACGATCTATTTACCCACGAGAACTATCATATAGCATCAGATCCCCACCGAACTATGACCTCATGCTAGATTCCCACAAATTGAAAATTGCAAACTTATTTCTCCTCGAATCAATACTTCAAAACCTAATTACCCACATACAATGGTTTTAATTGATTTTAGTTGGTTTATTATTAACCAAACATCTTAAAACCAAGTAAACCAAATCAAAATCCAATTAAGTCCCCACCTGAATCACCGTAAACATTCTTATGTATTAATTCTAATGGATTTATTTTACAACAGAAGAAGATTTTGTTTTATTTAATTGGATTTTGGTTTGGTTTACTTGATTTTAAGATGTTTGGTTAAGAATAAACCAATTAAAACCATCGTCTGTGGGTAATTAAGTTTTGAAGTATTGATTCGGGGAGAAATAAGTTTGCAATTTTTAATNAATGGATTTATTTTACAACAGAAGAAGATTTTGTTTTATTTAATTGGATTTTGGTTTGGTTTACTTGATTTTAAGATGTTTGGTTAAGAATAAACCAATTAAAACCATCGTCTGTGGGTAATTAAGTTTTGAAGTATTGATTCGGGGAGAAATAAGTTTGCAATTTTTAATTCGGGGAGAAATAGGTTTGCAATTTTCAGTTCGTGAAGATCTAGCATGAGATCATAGTTCGGTGGGGATCTGATGCTATATGATAGTTCTCATGGGTAAATAGATAGTCTACCCTATAAAGACAGATCCAAGGCAGCTTCTGATAAAAGGAATATTTTGCTTTTGCCTTTTTCTCTTGTTTCGACTCTGTTTCCTTGCTTTCATTTTTTCCACAAGGTTCAAAACAATGTAAAACTGAAGCTTATAGATCATCTAAAGATATTCATTAATCCAAATAAAAAGATGAAACTTTATTGCGTGGATCCCTTGGAATATATCTTAAAGTTTCAATTATTACCATCACAAACATCAAAAGGAGAAAGGCAACCAAAAACAAGAGAACGATTGTACCAAAAAACTTCAAGGAAGGTTTCAGAGTTTGTGGATGGTTTTCATGTCTACAGCTTCATCTAGAGTTCCTTTCTCAACATGGTCCCACCACTTCATCAAGAAATTGTCCACCACCAATCTGAACCATGGTGACAACTTCAAACCTTCCTCCCCAGCATCTGCTTTCTTCACTAGCTCCTTCAGCCCTTCTCTGCTCACATACTTGATGTCTGCTACTTCGTCTGGGTTTGGTTGAACCTTAACATCCCTCACTATGAAGAGCAAGTAGTCCACTGCAAAAAGGAATCCAATAGCGGATAATCAATGTTCCATTTCACGAGTTTGTGTTAGAGAAGAAAGGTCAATAAGAGTCTCAGGGGACGGTGTATTTACGTTCGTGCTCTCCCCATTTGCCATCAGAAGGAGCCTTGTAAAGCATACGACCCAAAGGAGTGAACTCATCGACTGGTACATCTTCAGCTACAATACCAAGCTCGTCAAGAAGCTTTCTCTGTGCAGCATTCCTCACACCTGAGTGACCATGAACCAAATACAGTGAGGTCAGTAGTCAAAGTAAGCGTAAGCAGTAGTAAGTACTAAATTGTTTGCCCACTAGATACCAACCGAGTGCATTTTCCTCGATAAGCTCTGAGTCACGGTGAAGAGGATGGCTGCAACAAGTGTTCGTCCACACGAGAGGGAAGGTCACCTTTGCCTTCGACCTTTGCTGTTAAAAAAGAGAAGAAAGTTCAGAAGGATGCATATGAGCCATAAGACCCAGCAACCATCTACGATCACGAGAGCATCCCATCATCATTCCCACAAACTATATGTGCAACAAAATCTATAGAATAAAGCTTATGATCTACCCTGTCATATTTATAGAGCCTACAAAAAGGTGAATCTAGATATGACACCACCATGCCTAGTCACAAGCCTACAAGACCTGATCTATCTTTCCTACAACTCAGTAATAAGCAAATACCTGGAGAAGCAGCTCATACTTCGAGTTGAACAAAAACACACTAAAAGCCCTGTGAAGCAAATTTTTAGCTTCGATATTTTCCATCAGATGACCTGCAGGTTTTGTTAGGTATCAGTATCTTGAATAATAATGGCATAGACAGAGACAAGAAGCAAAACAGCGATCCTCTATCACTTCAGTACAACGTGCCAAAGAAAACAAAGCAAATAGCAATTTTCTTCAACCATTTTTCCAGCAGCAACATCTTACATTCGTCTATATTATATGTTCAACAAGACAGAACTTACTATTTCGTCAGAGAAAAATATTATTTTCTGGTTAAAAAATGGCACAACACTGCAAAAAAAAAAATTACCCTATAATGTGTCCATACGCTTCAAGAAGGATAAATTACACATTTCACTGAGAGGGGTATTTGATGCAACTAAGCTAAGTCATAGGAGAAAGGTAAAGATGCACATAAATTTCAAAGGAAAACATACAGAGATAAGATGAGACTGGAACCAAATTCACTTACAGTTATATTTGCTGTCATGCCCAACAACACGATCAGTTTCGTCAACAAGAATGCATCTGCAAGCAAAGACAAACAATGACGTAACAAAAAAAAACATGAGAACAACATAGCTTAACCTGACTATATGTTTCTCCCGACATTGTCACAACTTTTCATACAAGACACTAAAGCGTTGACCTTTTGCCCATTTGATTCAAACGACCTAACAGCTAGTACTGAATCCATAACATTTTATCTTATTACATAGAAGTCAACAAATCAATAGACATATATTCCTGAACCATTTATAATCGTAAAACTCCAATTCTCAGCAACCTAACGATGGAGACAAACCGATTTGAAGACAAAGGGTTCTACTTTTGGCAAAAATCGAAGTAGGTGAAAAGCAAAGACTTACTCGTCCGCAAACATGAGGCGTCTCTGAACATCATCCATTCCCGCATCTTTAGCATCTGTCGTCATTGCGGAGAAAGCTCGAAACTTTCTCGGTGAAATGGATCGGAACGATGACAGAGGGAGACGAGAAGAAGAGGAGGAGAGAAGGGAAAGAGATCTGAAGCGAAACAAAGGGAGATTAAATAAACAAGAAGTAGAAGCAGTCATGTGGTTGAATGTTTTTTTTTTCTTTTTCTTTTTGTCAAGTGGTTGAATGTTTTGTTGATAACTGCTTCCTGCGCTCCTCTGCTTTCTGCGTTTTAATTTTTTATTTTTTGTTCTGTGTACCTCTCCGCACTACATAACACCTACCTCTCTCTCCTGATTAATATAGCGGATAAGGTTATTTCCAAACAAGCCTCTTCAAGTAACCAATGTTTTGCATGTTAATCCTATAACTATGAAACCTTATAACATAACCCTCTTATTTGATTACAAATCGTAAATTAGTCCTCCATGTAAAATTTTACCAAAGGTGAAATGACATGAAGCCAGTTTGAATATTCATTTAGAACGACCAGAAATGGGAAGGTGAATATGAAAACATATCATAGGATGGTGTATGAATAAACCTGATATTTGAACTATTTTCTGTTATTGAGTCTTTGTTTACTTGAAAATATTCTTACTCACAAGAATTTGTTTGGTAAATAACAGAACGTTTGAATGCCATTTGGTTTTAGACTAGCGTTGTGGTTTCAATCTCGCTCAGTTTATATGTTTTGGTTCTACATTTGAATGCTATTCTGTTCAGACATAAACAGAGGATACGTCAGAATGATCTACAAGTATGCAGACATCTTGTCTTCTGATGACATAGAGGACTGACTGCACATTGTTAGATTGTGTCATTTGGTCTCGAGTTTTATCTCATATATACTTACATATACTATTCTCATCTGTCTAGATTAGATGTAAAGACACCGTCATAGATAAAAGTAAAACATAATATAGTCTCTTCTAGTTAAAAAAAAAAGCTAAATAAATCGGTGGATTCCTTTGTTATCTTGTCAAGACATCTTTAATTAAAGAATATTTGTTCTTAATACATGCATGTGGTTTACATAGTCAGAAACCTTGTCCTGAAGCGCACATGGTATAAATTGGAAGGTGACTCGATACTCTTTACCTCCTCTGTTTTCCATTTTTTCCTTGACTGTTTTTTTATGCAATTATTATTTTTGATTTATTTTACTGTGTTTATTAATTGAAAGAGAGTGTCTTTGAATAATCTAAGCATAAACCACATTAAGAGATAAATATAAAAGCAACTTAAGAAGCATTAGTGGTCATTGAGTTAATTGACCTCTCATGCATTTAATGTCTGATGAAATAGTAACCTTTCTATACACTTACTATTGCTAAAAACCAACCCAAATGAAACTTCTGTTTATGAATCTTCAACTTATATCCTTCTAGAAAGAATCATATCCAGTGACAGATCAATGGAACCTCAAATTAAAAAACCAAAGAACCATATCCCACTGGTTAGCTCTCGTTTTTTCTTCAAACTTTAGCAGCCTGCGGTTTCGGCGACTGTACGTTTTCTTCTTCATGGACCAATCTTTTCCTCTTGAAACCATAGCCGTGATAACGATACATAATGCTCAAGAGACACTGCCTCAAACTCGCGGTATCAAACGCCTCAATGAAATTCAAATCCCTTTGTCTCCACTTCACACCAGCATTCTTCTGGTATTCCTCGAGCACAGATGACAAGCACCAGCTCTGAACTTTTCTTAAGCATCCGACCAAACAACCTGTCCTGTGCTGCAATTATAATTGAGTTCACCAAATCCATTAGTGTCCTGTAAACAACTAATCTCCACCAAAGAAAAGTATTTAATAACTACTCCAAAATATAAAAGACAGAAGACGAATAAGGTTTTGATGTTTTTATATTACCTTTCCAGCTTTGCAGTGTATGAGAATTGGATGGTTTCTTACATCTGTAACAGAAAACAAGACAGTTTAATTAATTAAAAGACAAGTAAGGAAGACATCAAAAAAAGACCGTGTTTAATGTTGAAATCCTTACCAACTAAGACTCTGAGAGCATCCAAAACTGTATCTTTTGGCATAGGAGTTGGAGGATCCTGCAAAATTCATAAACGATCAAATTATAAGAAATCATACAACAGTGACACAAAGAATCAATAACAGGATAGCTAATAAAACGCACCGTTTTGCCTTCGATTCCAAATTGGAAAAGCTTAATGTTGTTGGCTTCAAGAAACTTGAGATTCTCCTCCGGGTATGGTTCAGGACAAAGATATCTGCTCACAAAAAAAAAGGAATGATTTTTTTTTTTATTAATCCAATCGTGAAATCAAAACCAAATTAAACAGAACAATTGAATAAATCAATAAACTTACATGATGGAACGAAGATTAAGGGTTGAGAGAAAACCGAAATTCTCCGGTTTAGGAAAACCAGATCGGTAAATCCCGTCTTCAACCATCGAGAAATTCGACGGCGCAACTAAAACACCACCGTTGTTATCATCATCCGCCGCTTCCATTATCAAACACATCGAAATTTTCGAATTGATTTGAGAAAGAATTTTGATTTGAGAATAAGCAAAGGGTTTGCTTTTTATAGGGAAAGGGATCAAGTGGGGTTTGTGTTCTGTCTTGATTATAATTAAGAAAAGAAAAAAAAAAGGAAACAGCTTTGAAAAGCGGACTCTGATTTTGTTACGATCCCATCTTCCTATTGGTTGTTAAAACCACCTTAAAAGAGCTTTAGGGTGGACCTTACTGGTATCTCTTGGATCTTGACACGTGTCGTATCATCTTCTTTTTCGTTAGATTCCTGGCAGCAGCTGACTATTCTTCTGAATCTTATTAATTTGAGTCAATCCTTTACCATTTTAGTTTAACAAAAAAGTAAATTAAATGTGGGATTAACATTAGTGGTGAATCACGATAAAAATTTATAATATTACTATAGTTGAGTGGTCTCATATTGAATTTTATTATAGACCGAAAGTATTGACTAGTGAGAAATATAGTTGACAAGGAAGAAAATCAGACTAAAAATATATTATTATATCACAAATAAGATAATAAAAAATGTTTATGTTATGTGGAATTTTTCCGATCAGTTAAGTTATTTATTTGGTATATGTAATTTGAGGATCTAATGATTTCCGTTTCTCCTGCAGATAATGTAATCTTTGTTCATGATCATGCTTAGATTGATGATTCTTAAGATTCATATACAAGGTTTGGTTATGTGACAATTTGATTTGTGTTGGTGTATTTATTAATTTCTTATTCAATATAACATAGAGAAAATGTTTAGAATAGAGCTAAAAAAGTTTTTATTACAAATATAGACCTTAACAATTAAAATGACCAAAATAGCACATAAATGTTTTATTAAATATATATTTATATCCATTGGGTTAACTACTTCTAGATTTTTTTATTTAGAGTTGAGTAGTGTTAAGCTAGATGGGCTTCCAACTTAAAACCAATTGGTAATAAGTGGAGTGGCCCATATATCTTATATATTGCTAGAGATCCCTTCCAACAACCGATGTGGGACCTTAGTCTCTAATACGCCCCCTCGAGATGATGGCTCTTAGGCGTCAATCTCGGAATGTTTGGGCAATGATCGATGGGCCGACTTTGGGCTGGATCGATAAGGATCAGGTTGGATTACGTGGATCGTGTGCTCTGATACCATGTTAAGCTAGATGGGCTTCCAACTTAAAACCAATTGGTTTTAAGTTGGAAGCCCATAATAAACCATTAGGTTAACTACTTCTAGATTTTTTTATTTAGAGTTGAGGAGTGGGGTTTTGGGGATAGAATTTCGAACTTAAAAAAATTAAGAAAACTTAAAATTTTCAAAATAAAAAGTACTATTTTGGTCATTTTAATTTTTAAGCTCTATTTTGTGATAAAAACTTAAAAGAACGTTATTTTAGAGAATTGCCAATATACATATGAGTTCTCAAGCTCTGAATAAAAATTGTGAAAAAATCACCATAAAACATTAAAGATCATCTGATCTGTACATGTTTGTTTATCAACCAATCCATAACATATCCATCATATAAGAAATGATTATAAAGCATGTCTATACCCAGGCCCGGCTAAAGCATGTCATCACAAGACTGCATTCCCACATCAGTTTGTGCATAAAGTCCAACAAGTGGCTGCTACTAAGCGTGTGAAGGGACATGATTTTGTAGTTGTTCTTCATGAACCTTGAATATTTGCACAATGGCCATTGTGAATATATGAATCTGTATTTGATGGCTTAAAAGACGTTATAATGATTGTATTAACCAGTGGTAGTCAATAGTTTGCTGAAATTTGAAGTTACATTGCTTATTTGGTGATGAATGATGTGTTGCTTTATGTTTTCAAGTTTTAGAATCTAAGAATGTGTTAAGGTTCTTTTGGTATATGTTCAATGTGATCATACCTTAATGTTTTGTTTGATTCAGTATGGATGTCGGTTTACTTGTTCCAATTGGATGGTTCAGTCTCGGTTTAGGATCCATCCCACACCTCCAATTAACCATATTGGAAAGGAAAAAGAATAATGAAAACAAAATAATAAAAGTTTGGTGACGTCGTTGTTCTCTACCGTCCGTCCAATTTTGGCGGAGAAGATAAAATAAAGATGTCACTTAGCAGCAAAAAACATACGTAGGGGGTAGTTTTGTCTTCCTACATGCATCAACTTCTTAATTTTAATTAATTAAACTAAGCTCTCAAATGTTTTGTTTCTTTTTGTGTGGAGGTGAGACGAGAACGCTTTTTTTTTTGCTTTAAGACTCTCTGTTTACACGATTCTTTCTTCTTCTTCTGTCTTCTATGTACATTGTCATTTACTTCTTCTCTTACACTTTAGGGTGATGACAGTGTAATGTCTTATGCTCATCTTCATCGTTGGAGACACTCCTCTTCACGTCTATGGATTTTAATGCCGGAGTTCCTATGTCCTCTCTTTCTCCTTTGATCAATCAAGGTCCCATCTCTTTCTTCTTTTTCAGTTTTTTATCCGAAATTAATTTAGTTTTTTAATGATTATTATGGATTAATCTCTAATTTCTATTTTGGTGTGGTGCTTATGATCAGAGGCAATGTGGCAAATGAATTTGAGTTCAGATGAAACAATGGAAACTGTTTCTTACCCTGAACGACCAGGAGAACCTGATTGTTCTTATTACATCAGAACTGGTCTCTGTAGATTCGGCTCAACTTGTCGGTTCAACCACCCTCCTGATCGGGAACTGGTACCATACTTTTTTTGTGTTCTTTTATCTGATATTGAAGTTGGAGATCTGTTTTGAGAGTGTTTGTTGATGTCTCTTATAGGTTATAGCCACAGCTAGGATGAGAGGAGAATACCCTGAGAGAATTGGTCAGCCTGAATGCGAGGTTATTAGAATACTCTTTCTCTGTTAGAAATAAATTTTGTTATCCATTGTAGATTAGCATTTTCTCAATCTTTAGTATCCACATGAGTACATTGCACAAACTAACTTATGTTTGTGGGGTTGTTTAGTTCTATTTAAAGACAGGAACATGCAAGTTTGGAGTAACATGTAAGTTTCATCACCCTAGGAATAAAGCTGGGATTGCTGGAAGAGTCTCACTCAATATGTTAGGATATCCTCTACGCTCTGTATGTTTGATTCTTTTTTTGTTTTATTTCATTTCATCATTACACTTATCATTGTTACCAAACCCTCTTAGTGATTCTCTGTTGTTTTTAAATAATGCAGAATGAGGTTGATTGTGCTTATTTTCTAAGAACCGGACACTGTAAATTTGGTGCCACTTGTAAATTTAACCATCCACAGCCTCAACCAACAACCAACCTCATGGTTCCTACTTCAAACCAACAACAGTCTTACCCTTGGTCAAGGGCATCTTTTATCGATCCCTCTGGCTACACCCCAATGATTATGCCTCAAGGAGTTGTACCAGTTCAAAGATGGAACCTTTACAGCGTAAGTTGTATCCAAAACAACACTATTTAACTCTCAGCTAGTATGACTTGCTTTTGATCTTTTATCGACGTATTCTTCAGGGTCAGCTCAGCTCAGTATCTCCTTCAGGTACTGGAAATGAACACAACAACTATAGAAACATGCAGCAGCAAAACGAGTCAGGCTCCTCTGTTCAGCTTGGAGGGATCTATGCATTGCCGAGTGTAAATGTTTTCCCGGAGAGACCAGGACAACCTGAATGCCAATTCTACATCAAGACAGGAGACTGCAAATTTGGCACAGTTTGCAAGTTTCATCATCCTAGAGATAGACAACCTCCTCCTCCTGACTCTCTCTTGAGTCCCATTGGCCTCCCTTTACGCCCTGTAAGCTGCTGCTCAACTACTAGAAAGGAAACACATCTTCTGAACTCGTTTTTAATTGTTTTCTTTTGGATAGGGAGAACCGTTGTGTGTGTTCTATAGTCGCTATGGAATCTGCAAATTTGGTCCAAGCTGTAAATTTAATCACCCAATGGGAGTATTCACATACGACAACACAGTTTCAGAGACAGAAGAGGTTGTGGAAACGTCAGGTGGACATTCCAGAAGAGTCTCAGTGTCTGAAACAAGACAAGCAACAAAAGGCTCTGGTCAAGACACTCCCATTGATACACAGCGGCAGTGAGTGAAGAAGAGCTTAAAACTGCTTTGATTTTTCATAGAGAAATCTGTAAATTCTCGTTTTTTCCCATTTTAATCTGAAAAGCATTTATATTAATAATGTACAGAGGAGGTGATTTATACAGCTGATCTTTGATCTGATCGCCATTGTTGTAATATTCTTTCGGCGCATCATAATTGATAAAAGTATTACGACTTAAGATATGGTTTAGAACATTGAGTTGCAAGAAACTAAGTTACTGACATTATAGAACATAAACAGAGACTCTAAAGGCCAAGTACTAGAAGTTACAAATTCACAATAAGAGCTTAACTATGCTTACGAGAAGCTTTGTGTACATCCTTAGTTGTTCAGATTAAATACTGGGCCTGACTTGTTCTCTCGTTGCGAAAGGCCTTAAACTTATCCATGTAATAACAACTTCACACAACTTTATATTCAAACTCAAATAACATCAGTCTCTTTGTTTTGGGTCAAATATATCAGTCTCTATTGTCTAAGTAGTAATAAACATATTGCAACATGAAATTTGTGAAGAAGATTTCATGTGACCTACTTAACTAATTACAAGTTGTTTTGTTTAATATACTCAAGTAAATAATAACATGCAATTTTATACGTTTTCCAAAGAAGTGGTGTAAAACATACGAGGTAACCAGATTTTAAAATATAATCGATTTGGTAAACAAGAATTCCAACCGCTGAAATTTTCTCAAGTCCAACATTTTATATAGTACACCAACCACTAGTTATACTTATAGCTTTATGATGACCATTTCTATTTCGGAAATGGTCAATGCCGCGGATAGGATTGTTTAGAAAGATAATTAGCTGAGAAATTACATAAAACAATTAAAAACGGTGTCTCAACACTAGGGGTGGGCGCAAGGCGAGTACTTGCTATTTTGCATGTACTCGCGACTTGACTTGCCTTGTACGAATAATAAAATTTTCGACTTGTACTTGACTTGTTTAAAACGAGTACTTACTATTCCAAGTACTTGATGAAAAATAAACGACTTGCAAGTTATTTGTCTTGCTCTATTACTTACTATTTACGAATACTTGTGCACTATTTACGAGCTTTTCGGAATATTTAAGAACTCTTAACTAAATAATATTCTGTTAGAAATAGACATAAAGATTTGTTTTGTTTATTTTACTTAAAGTAACATGTAAATTACTTTAAATAGAATATTTGTTCATATTATAAAAAGATAAATTAAAAATGTATATTATGGTATATAAACATTGTATAATGATCACGATAACAAGAATATCTTCTCTAGATAAGTAACAAGTAATAACAAATCATATTACTAAATTTTTAATATTTGTTGCTGTGTAATACTTAACTAGATAACGACGAGTATTCAAAGATCAAGATTGGATACAAAATAAGTAACAAATATAAGAAGAATAGTGTGTATTTATGTCTAGTCCTAAATGCAAGTAAAAGAAAAGACAAATATGAAAAACTAATTAATAGATTATGTAACAAATAGTAAGTAATGGAACAAGTAGCGGGGCGGAACGAGTAAAATACAAAATATAATAATGATACTTGATACTTGAATTAGTCTTGCAAGTAATGAAAATTGTCGCCTTGTTACTTGTCTTGACAACACCGAGTACTTGAATTTTCAAAGCGGGTACGAGTCAAATACCGAATTTAAGGCGAGTAACGAATAATGATGCCCAGCCCTACTCAACACTGTTGGGTTCTATTTTTTTTTGTCAACGGTTTGCCTAAGACTTATTTCACAAATCTAGCTTTTTTTTTTTTGTCACACTGACCTGAACAACACAAAAAACAGACTTTTTGATTAGAACTAATAATTTATTGATCTATTAAAAAAACAGTTTTCAATTAACTTTCAACGTCACAAAACATTTACTGCATTGCATCCCGTCGTAATTGTGATAAGAAAAGGTATTTATTACCATTATTTATGTAACGCAATTGCTAGTTGATTATTTTAATCGTTACAATTATTCATGACTTCGTTATTAGATTTTTTAAAAAGATTTAGCTATTTCCATAACATAGCTGTCACATTTAACACATACGATTCTTCTTGAGATACTCTTTAGAATATCTCATCAGCGTATCATTAGCATGTTTTAATCAAATTTAAATTCCCGTAATTAAAATATTAAAATTTAAAGCTACTAAAATATCATTTATATAGTGAGAGAGCTGTCAACAACACTATTAAATGAAAATTTCAACCTATATTTGCTCAAAAAATGAAAACTTCTCCATCTTCTTCTTCTTGTGTCTTTATAGTATCTTTCTTTTTCCCTAGACGGCTTAGATAGAGTTGAAACTCATATGAAAAGCCTCTAATTCAATTCCACCATCTGTCTCTCTCTATCTCTATCTCTCTTCAAATTCAAACCTCAGTTTACGCGTAGAGACCAAAAAGGTACAAAATCTCAAAAAAAAAACCAAACATATTCACTTAAAAAAAAAAACAGACAAAAAGACCAATAATCATTCAGACACGACCAGACAGAAGAAGATGAAACGGTCCATCTCCTTCTTCTCCCTCACCTTCCTCCTCTACCTCACGACAGTAACTTCAGATCTCGACTCCGACCGTCGCGCCTTACTCCTCCTCCGCACCAGCGTCCGCGGCCGCCCCTTACTCTGGAACACCACCGCCTCCTCTCCCTGCTCCTGGCGCGGAGTCCACTGCGACGCGGGTCGGGTCACTTCCCTCCGTTTACCCGGAGCTGGCTTATTCGGATCCTTACCTCTAAACGGAATCGGGAACTTGACTCAGCTCCAAACGATCTCCCTCCGATTCAACTCGCTCTCCGGTCCGATCCCTTCGGATTTCTCAAACCTCGTCCTCCTCCGTTACTTGTATCTCCAAGGTAACGCCTTCTCCGGCGAGATTCCCTCGTTTTTATTCGCGCTTCCGAATTTGATCAGAGTGAATTTAGGGGAGAATCGGTTCTCGGGTCGGATCCCGGGTAATGTGAACTCCGCGACCCGGTTGGTTACTCTTTATTTGGAGAGGAATGAGTTAACCGGTTCGATTCCTGAGATTACGATCAGGCTTGAGCAGTTTAATGTCTCTTTTAATCGGTTAAACGGTTCGATTCCGGTTTCGTTATCCGGTTTTCCTGTAACCGTTTTCCAAGGAGGGAACAACACTCTCTGTGGGAAGCCGTTAGAGGCTTGTGAAGTTGACGCCGTTCCTCCCTCGCCGTTAGGGGGTAAAGATAGTGACAAGTTATCAACTGGAGCTATTGTCGGAATTGTGGTCGGGTGTGTTGTTGTCGGATTACTGTTGCTTCTCTTGCTTCTGTTCTGTCTCTGTAGAAAGAAAAAAACAGAACCACCACCGAGACACGTTGAAGCTCCTGTCGCCGCCGCCGCTCCGACTTCCTCCGCGGCTGCGATACCTAAGGAGACGGCGGCTAACGTCCCTGAGAGTGGTGTGGTGAGTAAAGATTTGATCTTTTTCGTGACGTCTTTGGGGGAATTCGATTTGGATGGGTTGTTGAAAGCTTCAGCTGAGGTTCTTGGGAAAGGAACTGTTGGGTCTTCGTATAAGGCGAGCTTTGATCATGGTTTAGTGGTTGCTGTGAAGAGATTAAGAGACGTTGTGGTTCCTGAGAAAGATTTTAGAGAGAGGTTGCAGGTTTTGGGGTCGATGAGTCATCCTAATTTAGTGGCTTTGATTGCTTATTATTTTAGCCGTGATGAGAAGCTTCTTGTCTTTGAGTACATGTCTAGAGGAAGCTTGTCTGCTCTCTTGCACGGTAAGGGTCGTTCCATTGTAGTTTATGATCATCGTGCCACGTGTTTTTGAGCTCGTTTAAATGGATTTTGCAGGGAATAAAGGAAACGGGAGGACTCCGTTGAACTGGGAGACCAGAGCTGGTATAGCATTGGGAGCTGCAAGAGCGATTAGTTACTTACATTCTCGTGATTCTACAACTTCTCATGGAAACATCAAGTCCTCAAACATACTATTGTCTGATTCCTATGAAGCTAAGGTCTCTGATTACGGTTTAGCGCCTATCATTAGCTCCACATCTGCGCCTAACCGTATAGATGGATACCGTGCTCCTGAAGTAACTGATGCGCGCAAAATCTCTCAAAAAGCTGATGTTTACAGCTTTGGTGTCCTAATACTTGAGCTACTAACAGGTAACAAATTTAAAAAGCTGAGTTTTTAAACTGTGTTTTTACTTTGTAGGAGTTTTAACATTGTACGTTGCATTGCAGGGAAGTCTCCAACACATCAGCAACTAAACGAAGAAGGTGTAGATTTGCCGAGATGGGTTCAGTCAATTACGGATCAGCAATCACCGTCTGATGTGTTTGATCCAGAGCTCACAAGGTACGAATCCGAGGGCAATGAGAACATTATCCGGCTCTTGAAGATTGGTATGAGTTGTACGGCTCAGTATCCAGATAGTCGTCCTACCATGGCCGAGGTCACTAGACTCATCGAAGAGGTTTCACATTCATCAGGCTCCTCCCCAAACCCAGTATCTGACTGATTTTAGTGGGGGGTGTAAATTGATCGAATCCAAATTGTTTGGGGCTACAAGTGTAATTTCTTGAATAGTTTATACGCATTCCCCGCTTTTTTCTTTCCTTATTTGTGTGTCCTAGTGTGTTCGTTAATTATTGAGCCTCAAATTGAGATGAGACTTTGCAGATCATTTTATAATTTTAAAAATGTTCATAAAATTATTTGCTAAAGCTAGTTTTTGTATAAAGGGTTATTGGTTGTGTGTGTGAATTAAATGGTTTGTTTTCTTCGTATCTTATCCTACAAATCTAAGCCAACAAGGCTGCTGAAAATAAAAGTCAACAATTTTTTTTGTTTTCATCGCCGTCCATTTGAATTAACTAATGACTTTCATTATAATCCCTAAATTTCTTGTATTGACTATTTTTTTCTTCTTCAATACCGACTTCACATGAAAATTATGTCAAAGACAGTGGTGGTCCTGAATCATATCACGATTGACTGACAAACAGTTCATGTTTCCATTTAACTTGAAGTCTTATTACTTTATAATAATGTGAAGTTGGTAACCACTAACCGTACACCACAAGGAAAAAAATAAACAAATAAATAAAACATTGCAGATTGAAAATCAGAATTATTTACTGAATATATATATTTATATATATGATATTATGTTTGTGGTTTGTGAATATTAATTTTAGTAAATGGGTATACTTATCGACAGTTTGGTTCGGTTTGTCAAACTCTGCAGAGTTTAACATATCCACATGGGCAATAGATCACGATGCCCACAGCTACACTTAAAATACTTGGACCAGTTGTTTATCACACCTAACTCCAGACAAACAAACAAACAAAATCATACCGAATTTCAAAATCTAGTCACTTGGACTTATTATAGAACAGAAAGCATTACAATAATAATCACACAATGTTCGTTATTATAATTTGATTAATCATAAAAATGAATGTACACAAAGTATATGGTTTAGTTACGCATAAAATTTACACATTAACAAATTAAGAGTGCTGGCAAGTTGTTTTAGTTAAAACATATATAGATAATCTATACTTTCAACTAAATACTTGAAATATTGTGACCTTGAGATTTAACTAAATGTTCAAATTCTACATTCTTTCCATGTGACGAATTATTTACACCGATTCACATAAGTTGACAGCATCTTTTTGGGGGTCCAACTCGTGTCCATGTGGACACCCATTCACATATAAGTATGAAGTATTTATATTGTGATGTCAGAAAAAAGTATTTATATCGACAATTTAGTTTTTGGCAGGTGGCCTGTAGCGATGGGATATTCCATAGCACTCGTGCCATATAGTTCCTCAAGTGCTACACCTATATTTTGAACGCTAATTAGAGCCAGTCATAGACGAATTAAAATATATTTATCTTCTGCTTCACTCTAATTAAACTTATAACATCTTACCATCACAATTGATAACCAAAAGATAAAGCAAAAACAAGTTGAGTCTACTAATTAGCCGACACATATCTAGATGATATAGGCGAACTGATGATACAAAATATTCGATTATAAATATTTCCTTATAAAAAGGAAGTTAAGGACATTTTGGACGGCCTTCTTTGGTCTTCCAGTTGTTGTAACAAGGACAGTTTTGCTTGTTGCCGTAAGTGCCTGACGGTACGCAAAGACATTTGCTACAACATTTAAGGCAAAAGAACATGCATGGCTTCTTGTGTGATGTTGCCGAACAACGGTAGTTACACTTCGGTCTGCAATCTACGTGTGAAGTACATCCAAAATAACACCACCACAAAAATAAACAAATCTATATTCATGTGTTTATATAAATTAAAATAGCCAGTCAATAAATAGTACTTTAAGAGATTCTGGTTAATTTCAATAAAACATATCATAATTGTTGTTTGCGTATTATTAATCAATTAGAGATGATCATCTTGTGACTTTAGAATAAACCTTGCTGTAACTACATAGTATTTTTGTTCATACCTTGAGGATGGAATCTGCCACCACCACGAGTAGCCTGTAAAAGAAAGGGCTTCACTTTCAGTATAATCATAGAATTTCACTTCTTCTTTTTGATACAACTAATTATTTTAATCAGGATAGAATGTTTTGACAATGTTTTATGAACATACCTGAACGAGGTTAGAGAGTGACAGTAAAGAGAGAAGAACTAAGAAGAGAAGAGCATATTTAATAGAATTCGCCATTTCTATATCTTGGTTTCAAACGGATGATTTTCAGAACAAAGTGGGTTAAAGATACTTATAGAAAAAAATAATTAGTGGGAATTCGTTCTGAGGAATAAAGTTGATAATCCCCGCGCTCATGCCGTAATTTTGGGGGATTATTAAGTCACTGTAATTGCTAATTCTGTTAACAGAGAATTGAATAAAACATATAATCTTTCATTTTTATTTATGTTATTTTTTTACATGACTATCATTTGCGGAACCTATGATCTCAATATTCTGATAGATCTGAGTTAGAAAATAACATTGCTTATGAAAAGTTATAAACATTTTAATAATTCAGCGACAAAAATGTATGAAAACTGTGAAGTGTAAAAAAACACAAAAATCAAATAGTACAATACTTTGGGTCAAATAGTAGAAGAAAAGGCGAAAAATGCGGCGAGGTTAAAGGCGTGAATGATATTTTGATTTTGAATATATGATCTTTGTGGGGCATTTCTATTGTTCAAATACAATCATATCTTTCTTTTTTCTTTCTTTTAGTTGAACACCATCATATCATATGACAGAAAATTCTATAAAAAGCCTTAATAAATAGACTGGCCCAAATACTCCAAAATTGACGACTACAAAATCTCTTAAAAGACCTCGAAAAAATGATCTGGCCCAAATATTCCCACAAAATAATTTAAAATCACATTGTTATGGGCTATGATACTTTTGAAATTTCAATATGTTATGATCTGATAAAACGATGCCTTAAAGGTTTTTTCCCAACTTAGAAATTAGCAAAATAGTCATTTTAATACTCCTAATCATTTGTTTTTCGAATAAAAAAAAGTAATTCTGTTTCCGGAATAAACACAGTGTTTTTATTTATTTATAAATTCAGAGTATAAAACTCTGTGTTAGTATGCATTGTAATATGTTTTCTCAAGCAGCAACTTTTTGAAAAACAGAGATGTTTCATTTCATGGCGGTGAAGGTAAAAATATGATTCATCATCACTGTAAAAATCTTGTTACAGCACGTTTAAAAAAGCTCTTATTAAACCTTGAGTGTTTAATTAAACAAAAAAAAAGAAAAAAAAACATTCGTCTAAATTAGTTAAATACGGAAAATCTAGTGTGTGTGTATTATAATATGGTAGTATGTCCGTACGTATCTACGACTGGTTGGTGTAGATAGAACCTTACTGAGTGGCTATTTAAGGTAAGATCAAGCTCTCTCTCTTTTTTCTTTTTTTTTTCTATGACGCGAAGGAATAGCGAGAATCGAGAGACGCTAAGTGATTGGTCCTTCGCAGATTCTCCTTGTTCTACCTAGACAGTGAGTGTGCGAGAGAGAATACGAATCGAATCGAATCTTGATTTAGAGAGGAACTAGGGTTTGTCTATTGAAGTTTGGTAGCGATTAGTGAGGAAATGGTATAAGTTAGGGCTTTGTATAATATTCGATTGTAACATGGTGATGATTGCTTAGATGCAAATGTTGAGCTTAATGTTTGTGATTATGTTCTCTTATTCTGTGATTAATGTTGTTAAATTGCATGATTGAATCGTCTGGGTTTGTGTTCTTTAATGTTTTTGCAGTTGGACTAAGAAATCAATTTGGGAGTGTTCTGTTTGTGTATGGTAAGATTGTCTCGAGACTCTGTAGTTAATCTTCTTCTTTTAGCTTATTTTAACGATTGAGTTGTGCAATGTCCATGCTTTAAGATGGTCTAAGAACATAGGATAATGTGATTACATCAAGAATCTTCCTTAGATAGTTACTTCTATTAAGATTATTATAGTAGCTTATGTTGTGTAAGGTAAGATTGTTTCGAGACTCTAGAGTTATCTTCTTCTCTTAGCTTATATTGAGTTGAATGTCCATGCTTTAAGAAGAGAGGATAATGGGATTACATGAAGAATCTTCCTTGGATAGTATTATGAATGTTTAGTTCTTAGTCGATTCTAAGAACAAAAAAGTTGTTAACTTTTCATGTGAAGCTGCTTCCTTTTTTTATTGCTTACATTCTCTCTTTGTTTTTCCTGAAGGCTGATTAAAGAGTTGAGAATCACTCCATTGGTCTGAAAAGTCGTTTTAAATTGGAGTCTGGAACTTGTAATACCTGCTCTGCGCCTTGTCAATCTTGCATGCATTGTAGTAATGGGGGCTTTACCGGTTCAATGTCAGAAGAATCTTCGGATGAAGACTCCCATGGTGTAGTGGCCAGCCAGTGTTCTTTCAACGAGGACGATAGATTGCGTTCTTCTCGCGTTTATACTCTCGGCAACACTACTAGTGAAGCGAGCAATCTGGTTAATTCCACTCTTGATACATCAGCTATGTCTGAAAGTGAGACTGCTGATCCTGAAGGGCAGGAAATTGATGTAAGTAATGCTATTTTGTGGTCCTGTTTCTTTGTGTTCCAATATTTACCTTCATTTCGCAGTAATAGAAATCCCAAGTGTAAATGTTCTCTTTGTTGTTGAGCAGGTGAAAATTTGTGACACTTGTGGAGTTGCGGGTCGTGAGGATTTACTTGCTATCTGCAGCAGATGCAATGATGGTGCAGAACACACGTAAGCCTGCTTCTGATCACGGGAAAAAAAACAAACTAGTTATTTTTCATTGATAGTGATATATTTGCGTTTTCTTATTTTTTTAGCTATTGCATGCGGACAATGCTTAAAAAAGTTCCAGCGGGTGATTGGCTTTGTGAAGAATGCAAGTTTGTTGAGCAAGCAGAAAAGCGGAAGCGAGGTAAATCGAAGAAATAATTTAACATGCTTGATATTAGTGCAAAACATTAGCGAAGCCTGTTTTTGTCTTTCTATCTAACGAATTTGAGTTGAAACATGCAGAAATTAAGAGAAAACAAGAAATTGAGGCAAATTTGAATACACAGACCTCCAGCAAAAGGCCCATAGATAAACCTGAGGCAGCTCCAGATTCTAAAAGACAAGCAGTTGAGGCCCCAACAGGGTCACCCAAAAGACCTGTTCTCCCCAGATTGACCGCTTTTTCCCGGGAAACATTTAAGGACGCAGAGAAGACAACGCGAAAGTTAGCCCATCTCTCATCTTTCAATAGCCACTCTAGTGATGACACAGAAAGCACACGATCTACTGACTCACAGCTCCAGTCTCCTAAAGGTTGGATTTATGATTTTAAAAAATCCCTCAAACTCAATTCTTCCTTGTCTAGGTTCTCTTACTTGGTGATGTTTTTCTTGTAGTATAATATTACCTTGTTATCAGTTTGTGCAGGCTCTCTTTTTAAGTCCAATTCGTTTAATTCTAGACCAAAAGGGAGACCAGTGGATGATGTTATGCCTAAGGAGGGGCTTTCTAGAAAGTTAGGTAGATCAATGTCAACTAGATGCATAGACGTAGTGAGCTCTGGTTGCAATGACTCAAGAGTAAAAGGTTCAAAGCAACTGAACGATCGGAGCACAGAAGCTTACCCTGCGGCTTCCGCAGTCGATCAGAAGCTAATCTCACGTGGCAATTCGTCCAGCTCATATGCAAATAGTGCCCGTGATTGTAAAGAAGGAAGCTTAACAAAGAAAGCTAGAAATCTAAACCGCGTGGAAGATATAGTTGCATCTGGTACAATTTCAACAGTTACTTTTATATGCTTTTTGTTCTGCAAGTGAAAGATTCTTTGCATTTAAAGATATCATGATTGACACCTTGGGATTTTTTTCTCACATATGCAGTGGGGGATAAACATACGAATGAAAAAAGCAAAGACGCTGTTGATACTCGCCGAAGGTCATCTTTAAAAGACCTGCCATCTCAAAAAGGTCAGACGGCCGAGCCTGCTGAGACTTCATGTGCCTCTGGAAGCAGTCTCTCTACCACGCAAAACATTAAGGAGGATATTAATAAGGGCAATAGGTTGCGAGCAGCGGTTGATGCTGCTCTGCGGAAAAAACCTAGCTTTAGCAAGAACCGAGGATTGGAGCAGTCTGATTTGCCGTCAGTGTCTGATGTGGATTCTAGTTGTGATAGGGCTGTTCCAAATCTTCCCTCGAAGGTGCCTATCGTGAGAGATTGGCCTGTGGGATTGCAAGGAAGGCATCCAAATTTACAGACAGACAAGCAGTTGATTGCAGTAAATAGAAAACAGTCTACACTCGCTGCTGCTGATGCAATGGCTGCTCCTCAATCTGTAGAGCCTGCAGTTCATTTACATTCTGTAAAGCCGGTCATGAGAGATTTGCCTGTTGGCTTGCAAGGAGGGCATCCAAATTCACCGACAGACAAGCAGAAGACTGCAGTAAACAAAAAGCAGTTTCCACTCGCAAGTGCTAATGCAATGGCAGCTTCTCAATCTGTAGAGCCTGCAGTTTCTTTACCTTCTGTAAAACCTGTCATGAGTGATTTGCCTGTGGTTGACCCATCTGTTCTGTCGACAACCTCAGCCATCCCAGAGCATGAATACATTTGGCAGTATGGTTTTCCTTCCTTTTCGTGAAGATACACTTTTCTGGTTTTATTGTTCTGTAGATAAACATTATATTTTCTTTGCCAGGGGGGACATGGAGGTGCAGAAAAGCAGAAATCTATCAGCAATGCATTATGGAATGCAAGCATATCTATCAACATTAGCATCACCTAAGGTTGCTGAAGTGGTGAACCAATTTTCAGTAAAAGTTACCTTGAAGGAAGTACCCAGGCTAAGTACGTGGCCTTCGCAGTTTCAAGATAGAGGTGCTCAGGAAGGCCATGTGGCTCTTTTCTTCTTTGCCAAGGACATTGAGAGGTGATTGCATATCGTTGTGTTTTATTTGACATGGTTGTTCATGTTTTGGTTTCTTCAATGCTTTATTTCCTAACCCCCTGACAAAACGTAATTGTTGCCTATTACCCACCCACAGTTATGAGAAATGTTACAAGCCCCTGGTAGATAACATGATCCAGAAAGACTTAGCTCTAAAGGGAAGCCTCAAGGGTGTTGAGCTTTTGATTTTTGCGTCCAATCAACTTCCTCAGAACTGCCAGCGTAAGAACTCGTTACATCGTGAACATAAGCTTGTTGCACATTTTACTGTTCTCAGTAGGGTTTAACTTCTGTATTAAATGTTTGAGATCCCAATGTCTTAAATTGCTTGCTTTCAAAGTTTTATAGCTGTTTCTTCCACTGAGGAGCATGTATAGCTCTCTGATAAGTTTCAAAAATGTTACACCGATGATTTCAAGGTTCCGTCTGAATGTAAGGCCTGATTATATATGTACGTGTCTAAAGCTTAGAGGTGCTATGTCCTTCGCGTTTGCAGGTTGGAACATGTTCTTTTTCCTTTGGGGTGTATTTCGAGGAAGTGGTCCACTCAAGAACAAACCTCTTCCGGCGTCTAATGTTTTGCCAAATATGGGGAAAGTGTTTTCTACAAGTACAATAGAGACCTCAATTGACCGCCCATCGAGCAGAATGCAATCGTCCATGAAGGTTGGTTCTTCTAGTCCTCGAACACACCTACCATCCGTCTCTCGCCTTCTATATCATCTCTAGTTATACGGTTCTTTTCTGAATCACATAAACCGTTTATTTTTCTGCTCTAGTTAGATAAATATCTTGCGTTTGATCTGTTTTAGTCAAGTGTGTTTAAGACTGTTTTAGAGAGTTGCTAGGTTTATCTAAACAGCGTGCAATTATTTGATGGATTCATGGGTTTGAACAGGAGAATGGTAAAGAGAGTGAAGCGGACGGTGGAGTTAGTGGAGCGGTGGAAGAAACTGAGGAAGGAGAGATAGGTCTTAGCCCTCACTTTAGAAAGGAGAAGATTTCAGATAACGGTAAGGGTGTGTTTTCGGCTGTAATGAGGCACTAACAGGAAACAGAATAAATTCTTAGCTGTGTTCATGAATCGTTTGTTATTGGAATTGACAGGGCCTAGGAGAGTAAATTCATCTGACATGAACCAGAAAGTAAACATGGATGATCTGAATGGTGTAGAGTTGTGTGAAGGACCAGCGAATAAAAAGCTGAAGACAAGCACAGGAGTAGAAACCGAATGTAACATATTCAGGAGAGATACATCTGGTGGTCCCCGTCCCCGTGAGGAGGAAAATGTGATCAAGAAGAATACAGATGCAACTGAAAGGATCGTGTTCCCTTTGGATTTGAATGATGGAAAGGAAGACGATGTTGAAATGGTAGAAAATAATCCCAGAGCACAAGGCAATGACAAGAACAAAAGAAGATCACTCGGTATGGTACCAAATCTTGAGCTGGGTCTAGGAGAGGATGAAACTACAACAACCACAGGAATCGTCTTGCCCTTCATGGCTGGACCAAGCGCCACTGAAAAGCATAGAAGTAGCAGTAGCCAGAAACCACAAGAAGACAATGCAGTTTCTCTCTCACTATCCTTATCCTTCTCATCCCTGGAAAAGGAACAACAACAGCAGAATCAGAGACGAGTGTCTGGATGGGAATACAAGAAGCAGAATGTGAATACTCCTATGTTTCTCTTCAGAAACTTCCCTGACAGATCCTCTTAGGGTCCTTAGTTCTTAGGGATAACAGTATCATCAAGCGACATGGGGAGAGAGAGTATATGCAGTAGCTTTGGATCATCTGTTCATATAAATGAACCTTCTTTTAGTTTGGTCTTTTGGTTTCCTGAAAAAGACCCAACCAAACCAGGACTCGCAACAGCTTTGTACATATGAAGGCGATGGGAAAAAGACAGATGAGAAGTGTGTGTTGTCTATTAGACTATTAGTAAACTCTCTATTTTTCTCATGTTCTTTATAGATATTAGCATACAAGTGAGCAGCTGACAAGTTTATTCATACATTCATAGCTTTCACAATTTGATGCCTGAGTGGAATCACTTGCAAGTTCAGAAAAATCAAGTGGAATCAGAATTGATGTTATTACATGACACTGGAGGGGATTTGTTCTGTTGATAAACCAAAAGTGAAATAAAACCGGATTGGTTAAACTGAGTTTAACCGGTTGCCTCTTCGTGCTATCGGCTATCCATCTTCAATCAACGTTACACCTAACAAATAAAATTATCTTCTTCTCAGCCTAATAACTCTTCTTCCTGATTGCAAAAAAATAAAGAAAATAAACTGAAAAGGATACAAAATCAAAGAGAAACCACAGATTCGATTTGATATTTTGCTGTCGAAATTCTTTTTTTTTTTTTCTGGGGAAAAAAATAAAAGGTTTCAGTATTTCCTCTGTCATTAGTTTGATTTTTCCAAGGCAACAAAAAAAAAAAAATCTGAAGTCGTTTTTCCCATTTATTATTTGCTTTTTAGTCTTCAATGAGATGATGTATAGAGAGATTCTTCCTCTGTTCGTCTTTGCTTCAGATGGAAGATAACAATTCTCCCAAGGTACAATTTTTTTTTCTGTTCTATCACTGATGATTACTGGGTTTGATTTGGCTATAGTTGTTTATGTAATATCAGTCTTGTTTGTCATATAAAGTTAAGATTTTTCTGAAAAATTCTTGTAATGTTGAGTAGTGAAAGAAATGATATTCATAGGTGATTCTTTGTTGTTATAGATTAGATTGTTTCTTGAATTGATTGCTTGCTAGAAAATATGAGTGATCATCACTAACATGAATTTTATTTACTCATGTTTTTCTATGAGGAAGGATTACTATAAGATTCTAGAAGTTGATTATGATGCAACTGAGGAGATGCTCAAACTGAGTTATCGGAAGCTTGCTTTGGTTAGTAATTATAAACTCAAATTAGTTCATTTTGGTTTTAGTTCTAGAATTTGATTAGTAAAAGTGTTTTTGAGATTCTCTTGCCATAATGCAGAGGTGGCATCCTGATAAGCACAATGGTGATACTGTGGCTACTTCAAAGTTTCAAGAGATAAACGAAGCTTATAACGGTAAACTCCTTTTTATATATAGGTTCACTTTTATTTGGCTTTGTATCTTTGGACTTTGGATCACTTGTTGAATGGATTAAGCTGCTTCAAAATATTAAGCTTCAACTTCTGTTTTCATTAAAGTTATACTCTTACGTTTGCTTTGGATTAATTAGTAGTTAGTACATCGATATCATAATATAGTTTTCTTTGGTTTCTTATCCTTGCAGTGCTAATGGACCCAGCTTTACGTTTTGAGTATGATCTAACCGGTATCTACGAGATTCACAAGTATACATTGCGGGTATGAAACGTTTGTTACATTTTTAGATATCTAAAATCTGTTTTGACTCCTCACATTATTAGTATTTTGAGATATTTGTTGATATTAACGTGTAGGAATATCTGGCTAGATTTAAGGGACTGATACTCACTTGCAATGGACTAGGCATCAGTCACTCCTCATCACCATGGTATACCTCTCTTTTAACTCAAACATTTTGTTGCTAAAGACTTCTTTATCCAAACCAAACATTTTGAAATGTGCAGGACACAACAATTGGCCGAAGGCAATAGCAAGGCAGATGAGCAAGGTTTCGATCTGGTTTACTCCTTTTTCTTGCTCTACACCGATGGCTCGTTAATTCCATTACCTATCAATATTAGCTTTGATGCAATTCTGTCTCACTTCTTACATTTTCTTTAACAGGATACTACTGTGTCAACTGAAGCAGAATCAGAGCTTAAGTAAACATTTGATCTTGAAACTCAAAAGGCATTAATATTCAGTCTCCACAGATTTTGATCAAGAGCTGTAATACAGAGGTGTGTATGCCTTATGTCCACCCCCATTCGACGATATAACAGCTTTTGCAGGATGTTGTGTGTTTTTTGAAATTTGATGGTATACGCAATAAGAAGAAACATTGTGTCTAATCAATGCTTAACCTTCATAGATTAATCATCTGAGTTAAGCCTTTACTGTGTTGTATTATATCATTCATGGATTGTACTTTGTATACATAAAAAGTGACATACGCATATCACGAAAAATTAGCAAGGTTTTATCATCATACAAGTGTATTTCTCTGATTAATAAACTAAACTAATAGAAATAAATATTAAAATCTGTATTGTGAAACATCATTTATCATTTGTAAATTGTAAAAGAGTATAAATATTAAATATAATGGTTTCAGAAAAAGAACAGCAGAGTGAAGTGATCACTAAACAAAAGGTTGAAAAGATTTCTAAAGCAACTTTTTGTGTTCATTTTCACTTCGTCCATTGAATGTGCACAAAAGTTTCAACGAGTCATGCTTTGTGTCCACCATCCAATGTGCTTCACAGTTCACAGTTCACAATTCACAAAGTTTTTTATTGCTTTTCTTTTTTTTTCCATTGTGGTTTTACACGAAACTAATTACATGCAAGTAACCTTTATCTTTCACAAAAAAAATTTTAATTATAAAAGCCTACCTGTAGTTTACACTCAGAAATTTGTAAATAAAATATCTTTTTTTTGGTGGGTAACAAAAAGAAATATCATAGGATTACTATATTATTTTCTGATTCAATCATGGATGAATTAGATATTGTAAGATTATTATAATTGTTTTTAAAAAGTTGCTAGGAAAGGCACTTTTGATTTACTTTAAAGTTTAAACCAAACTTTTATTACTTTACTTTATAGCTAAAAAATCAAAATATCTCAGGTAAGGTAAGAAGATGTACGGTGCACTTGTACTGCAGCCACGGAAGATAATTCCAAAGTGGAACAAAACAAATTACCTTTAGCTTTTGTTGTGGGTTGTCCACTGTCTAATCATGTTCACCTTTCTTTTTTTCGTCTTCTCTCTGTCAATCAAACCAAATATTTACATGCCTATGTTCTTCCATATATCTGAATATATAAGTTTTATATTCTTAAATCATTCAAAAGAATTCACTTTTGAATTTCCAAAACTAAAGAAAAACCAACAAATGAGTGAGCTATCATCCACCCCATAATAATACCACTATTTTACTTGTTTGAAATACATATTTCTGTTTGACAAAACAAAAAAAAACATATTTCTAAATACAAAACTTTTAGAAGAACGTTCTCTTGTCTAACTATTTTCCAAATAATATAAAGGTTAAATAAAGAATGGCAACTTGGCTGTAATGTGTGGTGATGCTACATTCTGCATCCACACGTAATCTCAAACACACCAGCTTCTCACGCCAATTATTGTTATATTTTTGGTTCTATATGCCCAAAAAAGATTGAATGGGTTACTAAAGACTTTTAAAGCATAATATAATGTTTAATTTAAATTCTTTTTGTTTGTTTCTCAACCTTTATGACATATGATATGTTGTATGATGTATATGATACGGCATTTGCTGCACTTGTCAATTTAGTGAGCCGAGTGGGCCTCCTCTGATTATTTTGATATTCACATATGGTAACCAGCTAAACACAACTCTCTTCTTCTTTTTGTCCACAACACAATCAGATATTCGTCCCAGCCAAACATATTTTATGATATGCTGTATGATGTATATGGTACGGCATTTGCTGCACTTGTCTATTTAGTGAGCCGAGTGGGCCTCCTCTGATTATTTTCTCATTCACATATGGTAACCAGCTAAATACAACTCTCGCTTTTTTTCGTCCACAACACAACTTTTTGATTCTAGTTCCACCATAACCAAAACATTTGAGTAAGATTTTGGTGTCAAAAGGTCCCCTTATTAGATATTTACAGAACAAGATAAATGATGAAACACTCTAATTGGCACATATTTATATATCTATATATCTATATATATATTTAAATTAATATCTATGAATTATTGATATTTATAAACCAAAATTATAACTATGATTAACCATGTCTTTTAATGTCATTAAGAAAAATACTTATTTGGGTTGACACTCTTATTATACATGCAACCACAGAAAAATAGAAAGCATATTTAAGTCATATGTATCTTGCAAGTTATAACTAGCAATTTTATTTGTCCAAAAAAAAACTAGCAATTTTATACTACTATAAAAATATTATTAATTATATGTAGAAAAAAAAAACAAATTTGGAGAAATAAAATAAACAAAAGAATACAATCAGCAGAACAGAGGAGGAAATCCACTACTATATAAACGCGTCATCGGCTTAACCAAATATTCACACCCCTAAAAATCAGAGATTCCATTATTCATACTCCTCTCTCTCTCTGTTATTACGATTCTGATTCTATTTTTTTCTCTCAACGATGGGCCACGAACCAATGGCGACAGAGACAACGCTCGTGTTCTCATACGGAACCCTAAAGAGAGGTTTCTCCAACCACGTCCTGATGCAAGATCTGATCCGATCTGGCGACGCTTCTTTCAAAGGAGTCTACCAAACCTTAGACAAATATCCTCTCGTATGCGGACCCTACCGTGTCCCTTTCCTCCTCAACAAGCCTGGATCCGGTCAACGCGTCACGGGAGAGCTTTACGCTGTTTCTCCACGCGGTTTATCCCGTCTCGACGAGCTTGAAGGGATCAGTCGTGGACATTACGTCAGACAACAGATCCGTCTCTTGAAGGAAGGAGAGGAAGGAGATCTTGAAGCAGAGGAGTCGTGCGTGGTGGAAGCGTATTATGCGCATAAGAGCTATGAGGAGGAGCTTTGGGAGAGGAATAGAAGGAGGTCGTTTGGCGCGTATACGGAGAAGGAAGCGCGTGGTTATGTGAAGCGGAATGATAGGCCGCAGCATCTTACCTTCTTGGATCATATCCGTATTTTCGTTTCTTCTCCATGTGACTGATTTTAATTTTTTTTCTTTTCATCTATCGGAAAAGAAAAAAAAGATTAGTTATTATTATTACATATTTTATAGGTCCCACCGGTCCGTCCGTAGTCCGTACAACGGTTGTCGTTCTGTGATTGTTGTTTGGATGTAAAACATTATAAGTCCTCTATCTCAATAACAGGTTGTCTTATGTTCTGTTTCGGAATCGAATCTGTGTTTGTTGTCTATAATAAATGACTCGTGTAGTCGATTTATCTGATAACAATTTTTAAGATCTAATGGGATCATAAATTGAAATTTTAGACTAATCATTCCTCTACGATATGTAAATTTTGATGTCATTCACTGCGCAAACTAGATAAAAACCAACTTGCAAATGTTTTAAATTAAACAACTAAAGTAGGTGTAAAGTCTTTCGGTGACTCGTGACAATGTTGATAATATTTGAAGAGCCCAATTATTTGAACTGAAAACTTTTAATACTACCACTTGCGTTTTCATGTGGCTTATAACATTAACATAATTCCAAGATTTCAGATAGTCAAGAAACAACTAGCCATGGTCATGTCACTACATCCGCGCAAAAAGAAGAAAAACTGTACATTTTTGTTTGACAAAAGTTTTCTAACATAGAATTTTTAGCTGGTCTAGTACTTTTCTAAATTCTTGACCAAGTACAGTTGACAAACATAGCAAGTTTGAGATTTTGCTCATGATGCAGCATAGAATACTATTAACCAAGAATGCTACTTAATGATATTTGTATCGTCATTAAGAGATGCGCCAGATAGAATAAGTTTTGGGCGTTTAGATTCTAACTGTAACCAATGAAGTAACTGCCCAGCCCAAATCTCGGCTCGGTTTGGGACTATATTTGTGGGCCGACCCAGATACTACTCAGACAACATGTTTACAACAAGTAGACCAAAGAAAATATCATATAACAGAAAGATTTTGATTGAACTTTGAGTTGATTTTAACAAATCCAAAAGCTATTAGATAGATTTAGTCTTGAAGCCATAGGTAGTCATACCGTAGGGCCTATACAAAAGACTTTCCGTACTTAAGAAGATTGGTAAGAAAATCCATTTTGATCATGCGTTTGCGGTTGACTTGAAGCAAGTCTCATCGCTAGTAGAGTAAACGCAGCCATCGTTCGAGAGCTGTTCCAATGCTTCCCTGCCATTAGATATTTTACAGAGACCAATCAGTTCTTGTCAAGAAAGATAACATTGTTTATGTTGTAACTTTATCAATGAGAGGGAGATGTGAGAAAGAATGAAGAGAGAGATATACTTGACTTGTTGCAGCGGAATCCTGAGCTCGCGGGCAATCACATCGCAGTGAACTCCAGCTTCAGATCTACTGTTAGATTCAAAAAAATATATAACCAAATATCAAACTCACGTTAGATGAGTGATTGAGAGAAAGAGAAAATCCAACGGAAGAAGTTGAGTTTCAGATATCAATACACTATTACACTTAACACTAACTCAAGAACAACAATCTTATGCAACAATTCAGATTGAAACATCGGCAACGAGGCTTATAATTGTGGTATGTTGAATATGTTCTACTTAAAACACTTAACTAGGCTGGCTCATAGAGATTTCCGTGGTTGATATGCTCATTTAGAAACCAAAGTCTAATCAAGAGTATTGAAAGTTGAATTGATGATCTCCTTTGGGGATATTAGAAGAACTTACAGGTGTATAGGTCGATTGAGGTAATTTAAGACTGTCTGCCTTACGCCATGCATTGGGTCGTTGAACTGGTTCGAGAACTGAAAAAAAAAAAGATTTTTCGATGACTGCAGAGGGACACACAAAAGCATATCCAAATTTAACTTCAAGATTGGATCTCTGCCTATTACCTGATTAGATGGGCCGGTCTGGAATGGCCTTGCAGGCGTGGGCGTTGTTGAAGGCATTTGAGGCATAGGAGTTTCAGTAGCCTGAGTAACAGAACCACCCTGAAGTAGTTGAGGTTAGTATTAATAAGTTTTAGGCTTTAGAACAAAGCTTGAAACAATGATGACGGATAGGCTTATACCCGTGGCTTAGTGTTGTACATGTGAACATAAATACACTCGGTAAAGTGGTGTACAATCTCATTGAAGTCAGTGACAGGCCTGGAAGCATATTATTAGACGTGAGCACAAATATTTCAGGTTCAGCGAGTTCAGTTACTTGGATAAAGAAGAATATAATATGCAACATTTTAAGCCACAGAAATATCATATAGATAAAACAGAAATCTCAAAACTAACAAGCCAAAGTGATATGGTTTACTAAAGCAAAGTATCTCATGGACTGATCGAGTATGTCAAGGGAAGAAATGTACCTAACTGAGAAAACATTCATAGATCGCTTTCCCTGGAAGCTTTTCAGGTGTCCATGTAGGCGAACATACATTCCTAGCCTGCAAAAGATGTAGACTATTCAGAATTCGACACCAAACCAAATCAAAGAATCAACAAGTGTTCAGCAGAAATATACCTGACTGCTTCCATTTCTTCAGTTTCTTGACGTTCATGACACCTGCAAATTATTGTTCACTATGCATTAGCAAGACATAGTTGTTCCCTTATGACAGCATAGAGTTACACGAGAAAACTGAGGCACTTACCATCTGATACACTCAACACAGCCAGTACCATCATCTATAACAAAATCCACCTGAGTGATTCTGTTCTCCATCCTAGAAACTCGCCCAACAATTGCAACCTAAACACACACCACACAAAGCTCAAATCCTTAGCTCAATAAACATCAAATCTACAGCAGAAACATACTTGATACCAAGCTCAAGATCACCAAAGTAGAGAATCTACATATGTACGTTATACTTGACTTAACTTGACTCAATAGACTCCAAATTTAACCGTTAATAGCCAAATACGCAGCAACAAAATAGCACGAGGGCTTAATATCTAAACAAACAAACAAACAAGAGTAACAGCTGAAGAAGAAAAAGAGCTTACAGTGTTGATATCAACGCCGTCAATGGAGAAATTCGATTCACCATTGGTTGAAACACTGTTCAATTGCTTCAACGTCAGGGGAAGCAATGTACGTGCATCCCGATTCTGCAAAACATACCAAAACTCAATACATCGCCACTAATTCTCCCGAGAAACCACTGGAAACGGATATAATCTAATAAGTATAGAGCACCGAAAATCGAATAATAATCTAAAGCGCAATCGATAGATTTCAAACCTTGAAAGCAGAAGAGGATTCAGGCGCTTGCGCAGTTGATTGAGAAGGCATGAAACCGCCGCCGGCGAAAGCGGCGTTACCGTCAAACTCGCCTGCGTACATGATTTATTAGATTCTCTCTCGGAACCCTAATGGGACGCCCGTCGCTTCAGTGGAAGTGATTCGAAACAGCGCTTGAAGAATCTGGAAAAAAAATTCTCTGCATTTAGGGCTTAAATAATAATAATTATTAACTAATTAATGGTAATTGCAGTATATAGTTCCCGCCAGAAGTTTTCCCCATTTCCCCGCGATATTTTGAATATTTTCGAATGTGATATATAAATATATTCAATTTCCTTAACTACCGTAATTATACAGTGAAACATTTATAAATTAATAATGTTGGGAATACATCAAACCTATTATTTTTTTTTATTAATTTATAAAAACTATTAATTTATCGATATATATATTGAATAAAAAATTCAATTTAGGACTATAAAATTATATTATTTTATAGAGAATTTTTAGTGTATATTAATTTATAAAATATTAATTTAAAAAGATTATACTGTATATTTGACACACAATTGTAAAAGCTACATGCTTTAGTACATATAGTTCGAAGCAGAGTTTTTAAAAGTACATATAGTTCGAAGCAGAGTTTTTAAAACCCAATCGAGCCGGAAATATTTGGGTCATGGATCAATGTGATTCAATCGGATTTGAATATCCATACTATGTTAGTGTATGATGCATCTATGCAATAAAAGAAAAAAATCATATTTTCTTATTTATTTTGAAATATGTAGGCTAACCCCTACGAAAATACTCAATTTTCTGATAAATACTATCTATAATATTTAATCTCTTTAGTTTTATTTGAAAATAACTACTCACACTCTAATATTATATATATGTACGGTAAGCTTATTTTCATGGTACATGGGCATCATTTCGAAGTAATTTATTTAAACTTAATATACCACCTAATAAGTTGACTAATCCCTATAAAATATCTATTTTTTAGAGAAACGAAAACATCTAAGGTTTTAAACCTCTTTAATATTCATACTATGTTAGTGCATGATGCATCTATGCAATAAAAGAAAAATATCATATTTCCTTATTTATCTTGAAATATGTGGGCTAACCCCTACGAAAATACTCAATTTTCTGATAAATACTATCTATAATATTTAATCTCTTTAGTGTTATTTGAAAATAACTAATCACACTCTAAATTTATATATATGTATGGTAAACTTATTTTCATGGTATATGGGCATCATTTCGAATTTTGCATTAAGTAATTTATTTAAACTTAATATACCACCTAATAAGTGGACTAATCCTATAAAATCTCTATTTTTTAGAGAAACTGAAACATCTAAGGTTTAAAACCTCTTTAATATTCATACTGTGTTAGTGCATGATGCATCTATGCAATAAAAGAAAAATATCATATTTTCTTATTTATCTTGAAATATATGGGATAACCCCTACGAAAATACTGAATTTTCTGATAAATGCTATCTATAATATTTAATCTCTTTATTGTTATTTAAAATAATTAATTACACTCTAAATTTATATATATGTATGATAAAATTATTTTCATGGTAGATGGGCAACATTTCGAATTTCTCATTAAGTAATTTATCTAAACTTCATATATCACCTAATAAGTGGACTAATCCCTACAAAATCTCTAATTTTAGAGAAACAGAAACATTTAAGGTTTAAAACCTCTTTAATATTCAAACTATGTTAGTGCATGATGCATCTATGCAATAAAAGAAAAATATCATATTTTCTTATTTATCTTGAAATATGTGGGCTAACCCCTACGAAAATACTGAATTTTCTGATAAATGTTATCTAAAATATTTAATCTCTTTAGTGCTTTTTAAAAATAATAATCACACCTTAAATTTATATATATGTATGGTAAACTTATTTTCATGGTACATGGGTATCATTTCGAATTTCTCATTAAGTAATTTATTTAAACTTCATATACCACCTAATAAGTGGACTAGTCCCTATAAAATCTCTATTTTTTAGAGAAACGTAAACATCTAAGGTTTTAAACCTCTTTAATATTCATACTATGTTAGTGCATGATTCATCTATGCAATAAAACAAAAATATCATATTTTCTTATTTATCTTGAAATATGTGGGTTAACCCGTACGAAAATACTAAATTTTCTGATAAATACTATTTATAATATTTAATCTCTTTAGTGTTATTTGAAAATAACTAATCACACTCTAAACTTATATATATGTATGGTAAACTTATTTTCATAGTATATTGGCAATCATTTCTAATTTTTCATTAAGTAATTTATTTAAACTTCATATACCACCTAATAAGTGGACTAATCCACATAAAATATTAATTTTTTAGAGAAACGGAAACATCTAAGGTCTTAAACCTCTTTAATATTCATATTATGCCATTGCATGATGCAGCCATGCAATAAAACAAAAATATCATATTTCTTATTTATCTTGAAATATGTGAGTTAACCCCTACGGAAATACTGAATCTTCTCATAAATGTTATCTATAATATTTATTATTAAGTGTTATTTAAAAATTACTAATCACACTCTAAATTTATATATATATGTATGGTAACTTATTTTCATGGTAGATGGACATCATTTCTAATTTTTAATTAAGTAATTTATTTAAATTTCATATATCACCTAATAAGTGGACTAATCCCTACAAAATCTCTATTTTATAGAAAAACAGAAACATCTAAGATCTTAAAACTCTTTAATATTCATATTATGTTAGTGCATGATGCATCTAAGCAATAAAACAAAAATATCATATTTTCTTATTTATCTTGAAATATGTGGGTTAATCCCTAAGAAATAACTGGATTTTTTGATAAATACCATCTATAATATTTAATCTCTTTAGTGTTTTTTAAAAATAACTAATCACAACCTAAATTTATATATATGTATGGTAAACTTATTTTCATGGTACATGGGCATCATTTCGAATTTTTCATTAAGTAATTTATTTAAACTTCATATACCACCTAATAAGTGGACTAATCCCTATAAAATCTCAATTTTGTAGAGAAACGGAAACATCTAAGGTCCTAAACCTCTTTAATATTTATACTATGTTAGTGCATGATGCATCTATGCAATAAAAGAAAAATATCATATTTTCTTATTTATCTTGAATATGTGGGCTAACCCCTACGAAAATACTAAATTTTCTGATAAATACTATCTATAATATTTAATCTCTTTAGTGTTATTTGAAAATAACTAATCACACTCTAAATTTATATATAGGTATGGTAAAAAATTATTTAAGGTAGATGGGCATCAATTCTAATTTTTCAGTAAATAATTTATTTAAACTTCATATACCACCTAATAAGTGGACTAATCCTTATAAAATCTCCATTTTTTTAGAGAAACGGAAACATCTAAGGTCTTAAAACTCTTTAATATTCATACTATGTTAGTGCATGATGAATCTATGCAATAAAATAAAAATATCATATTTTCTTATTTATCTTGAAATATGTGGGTTAACCCCTACGAATATACTGAATTTTCTAATTAATACTATCTAAATATTTAATCTCTTTAGTGTTATTTGAAAATAACTAATGACACTCTAAACTTATATATATGTATGGTAAACTTATTTTCATAGTATATTGGCAATCATTTCTAATTTTTCATTAGGTAATTTATTTAAACTTAATATACCCCCTAATAAGTGGACTAATCCCTACAAAATCTCTATTTTTTAGAGAAACGGAAACATCTAAGGTTTAAAACCTATTTAATATTCATACTATCTTAGTGCATGATGCATCTATGCAATTAAAGAAAAATATCATATTTTCTTATTTATCTTGAAATATGAGGGCTAACCCCTACAAAAATACTGAATTTTCTGATAAATGCTATCTATAATATTTAAGCTCTTTATTGTTATTTAAAAATAACTAATTACACTCTAAATTTATATATATGTATGACAAACTTATTTTCATGGTATTTGGGCAACATTTCGAATTTCTCATTAAGTAATTTATTTAAACTTCATATACCACCTAATAAGTGGACTAATCCCTACAAAATCTCTATTTTTTAGAGAAACGGAAACATCTAAGGTCCTAAACCTCTTTAATATTCATACTATGTTAGTGCATGATGCATCTATGCAATAAAACAAAATATCATATTTTCTTATTTATCTTGAAATATGTGGGTTAATCCCTAAGAAATAACTGGATTTTTTTTTGATAAATACCATCTATAATATTTAATCTCTTTAGTGTTTTTTAAAAATAACTAATCACAATCTAAATTTATATATATGTATGGTAAACATATTTTCATGGTACATGGGCATCATTTCAAATTTTTCATTAAGTTATTTATTTAAACTTCATATACTACCTAATAAGTGGACTAATCCCTATAAAATATCCATTTTTTAGAGAAACGGAAACATCTAAGGTCTTAAAACTCCTCAATATTCATACTATGTTAGTGCATGATGCATCTATGCAATAAAATAAAAATATTATATTTTCTTATTTATCTTGAAATATGTGGGCTAACCCCTACAGAAATACTGAATTTTCTGATAAATGCTATCTATAATATTTAATCTCTTTAGTGTTCTTTTAAAATAACTAATCACACCCTAAATTTATATATATGTATGGTAAACTTATTTTCATGGTACATGGGAATCATTTCGAATTTATCACTAAGTAATTTATATAAACTTCATATACCACCTAAAAAGTGAACTCATCCCTATAAAATCTCTATTTTTTTAGAGAAACGGAAACATCTAAGGTTTTAAACCTCTTTTATATTCCTACTATGTTAGTGCATGATGCATCTATGCAATAAAACAAAAATATCATATTTTCTTATTTATCTTGAAATATGTGGGTTAACCCCTACGAAAATACTGAATTTTCTGATAAATACTATCTATAATATTTAATCTCTTTTGTGTTATTTNCTTGAAATATGTGGGTTAACCCCTACGAAAATACTGAATTTTCTGATAAATACTATCTATAATATTTAATCTCTTTTGTGTTATTTGAAAATAACTAATCACATTCTAAACTTATATATATGTATGGTAAACTTATTTTCATGGTACATGGGCA